TCTTTGGGGAACCCTCTTCCTATCAGCCTGCTTTTTATAGGTTTCAAAAGTCTTTTTTAAAGCAGTTTTTGTGTTTCTCCAAACTTCTTCCCACCCCCTCACCCACTGGTCAAGTGTCTGGGAAGCGGAGGGCACCTGAGAATATTCAGGTATTGGGCTGAACTCTTTTCCTGTGGCCACTCTGAAAGGCGTGTAGCCGGTGCTGCTGTGCACAGAATTATTGTACGCCACCTCCGCAAAAGGGAGGAGATCAGTCCAGTTCGTCTGTTGGTAAGAAACTGTAGCACCTAAGATATTGCTCCACCATTTTGTTAGTGGATTCTGCAGCCCCATTGGTGGCAGGATGAAAAGCAGAGCTCTGTCCCTCCTGGCACCTGCGTGGAGACCTCGAAAATAAGCCCAGCGTTACTGGAATTTATATCCAACCTCATGACGGTAAACAACCGATACCTTTTTTACCTTAAGAGAATTTAGAATAGAATAACAACTTTATTTGAATGTACGCTAATCGGCATATGTTAAAATGAAATTTCATTGCGTACGAGCTCTCAAAGGGTCACCGCCCTCTCCCTCTATGAAAAAGGCAGATTCCACGGTTATAGCTCAACAACAGATCGTTACAGCATTGACAGAGCCAAAAGCGATGGAGAGCATTGCTGAGAAGATTGGAGTGGAGTGTAGACACGCCCCTGAGAATATCCAGCAGGTAAACTGACAGCGAAGGAAAGTGACAGCGGCACAAAAGTCAAGGAAGGGAAGAAAACATCGGCTACAATTAAGGGACAAAGAGTGGCAAAGGTCAGAGACTGTCAATGCCCGGTGGCGGCAGTGCCAGAATCGAGGCACACAGAACAAGAGAAGATGCGGCGGATAAGCTAGCAGGAAGGAAAAGCAACGGCGGCACCAAAGTTAAGGGAACGAAAGCATTAGACGGACTGTGTACACTACAGGGACAAAGAGGTGCAAAGGTCAGAGAGTCAATGCCCGGTGGCACTGATGGAATCAAACACTGCCCAGTGGTGGCAGTGCCAGAATTGAGGCATAAAGGCCCTGGGAACATCACAGCCAGAGACGATGTGGCAGGTAAGCTGGAAGGAAGGACAAGCAATGGCGGCACCAAAATCAAGGAAGGGAACAAAATGCAGGCTACGCTTAAGAGAGAAAGAGTGCCAAGATCAGAATGTCAATGCCCAGCGGCGGCAGTGCCAGAATCGTGGCACACAGATCCTGGGAACATCAGAGCCAGAGACGATGTGGCAGGTAAGGTGGAAGGAAGGACAAGCAATGGCGGCACCAAAGTCAAGGAAGGGAACAAAATGCAGGCTATGCTTAAGAGAGAAAGAGTGGCAAGATCAGAGTGTCAATCCCTGGTGGCAGCAGTGCCAGAATCGAGGCAAACAGGCCCTGGGAACGCCAGAGCCCGAAAAGATGCAGCGGGTAAGCTGGCAAGGAAAAGCAATGGCGGCACCAAAACCAAGGAAGGGAACAAAAAGATAAGATGGATTACACTTAAGGGAAGCGGTCCCAGCTTTCCATTCAAAGATCCCCACGTACCCGTAACTCCAACCTATAAAAAGAGGAAACCAATCTCCCATCCAACCTCCTTCCCCGCAATAGCCCCAGATTGCAGCAAGCAAGTTCTTCATTGGTGTTTCAAAGCTCTCTTCTTTCTCAGGTTCCTTCGTAGCAGCAGCAGCAGTACACAGATCATTTCAACTTCAGCGATTTAGGGCTCCCCTTTCCTTCATCCCAGAAACATGCAGGTATAATGTCTTCCGAGCAGGATGACTCCAGCTGAATACATTTACTCTGCTAATGATACAAAATACCCCAAACAACTAAAAACAAAAGTTATTCTCAGCATTTTTCAAGAAGGTACAAGCTTGGGGAACTGCACTAGCCTCCTCGGCTATTCCTCTCCCAGGGGACACTGACCGATGTGGTGTCCTGGTGGGAAAAGACAAGCTCGCTATGGCTTGAGGGGCCGGTATCTACATCGCCGGTCCAGTGGTGCCCGTTAACATAACACAAAACACCGGCTCCTTACCTCTAAACTCCAAGCGAACTCCAAGCTCTTGTCCCCCCTGGCCCAAAGGATAGGGTAGTCATCTTGGCATTTCTCTTTCCAAAGGGCAGGCTGATGAAAGGTCTTCACAGAAGGGCTCCACGCCTGCATCCATCGAGCGGCCTAGTTCTAGAAAGTGGGAGAACAAATGTTACACAAACTACTTCTTGCTCCAAAAGAGGGATAAAGACAAATGCAGAGCAGCTATTGAAGTTGCCCCTGTGCTCAGAAAAACAGTGCTGACTCAATAGGACCCAAAATACTGTCAGAACCACCCTGGGTTTCATCTGTCACCTGCTTGCTACAAAGCTATACACTTACCTGTCTCATCTTCTCCTGTTTTGGATTCTGCTGCTAAGATGCCTCTGGAAGTCCTTTCTGACTCCACTCCCCCCCCCCCGCCAGAAAGTAAAGCATCAGGCCCGTAGGAAAGGGCCTTCTCTGCATAGCTAACTGGATTGTGCGACAGGACCCTGGAGAGCGGCTCTTTGCTCGACTCTCGGAGGATTTAAGAATAGGGTAATCTTGCATCTCTTTGACTGAGCTTTGACCTGAAACTTATCCTGATGCTTAATTTGAACTAATTTCAATGGCATAATGTTGCTCCAATTTTCACTTGATGATTTAAAAAACAAAGGTACTGCTGTTGCAAGCAGGCGCCGTTACAGTTATGCTTCTGTGTTTTTTATTTTAACAGTGTGGACAGCAGTTAAGCCTGATGATTTTCAAAATTTGATTTAGAGTTAGGTTTAAG